CAGCTTTATTATGGAGTAGTCCAATGTGTGATGGGATCCATAGCAATTGTACATTAATTCCTTTGTCCCGGATTTTTGAGTATCTATACCTGGCTTCTCCAATGAGCATGTTGTTGGAGTCATTATATGAGTCAAGAACCTTCAGTAATGACATAAAATCAGTAATGACATAAAATCAGTAATGATGATAGAGTCAAGCTCAGTCCCATAAGTTAGCTTTAGCGCTATTAGGATTGCAGTTATGCCTGATTCAACAAATTTATTATCGTTCTTATCTAGGGAGGTGGCAACAAGAGCAGATGCAGCCCTGCCAGAAGACTCCTGTTTAGATCCATCAGTGTATATAACTTGTGATAACTTATTACTGCCAGTTAGGCGAGAAATTTCTTCTTGAGCAGTTGCTTTAACAAGTGATTTAAGGAAGGGATTACTAGCAATGAGCTTCTTGAGACTGACTTGCGGGTATGTGATATTAAATGAACGCATCTTCAATGGAGGGGTGAAATGCTCTTGCTATCTACAGTGGTGCAGTTCATGCAGGTTATAAAACTTAATGTAACTGTACGTTTTCACAATCCATTTAGATCTGTGTGTATTTACTTCTAGACATTTAGTAAGACTCATTGTGACAGTGTGTAGTTCATTTCTTAACATGGTTATTATTAGCTTGGTTATTACCTCAAATAATAATAACAATGTTTTTATTGACTACAAGATAAGAAGATAAGATAAGATTTCGTTCGGATTTTTAACCCCGGAGGGTTAGCCACCCAGGATAACCCAAGAAAGTCATCGAGGACTGTCTAACTTATTTCCATTGAGGTCCTTAATCTTGTCCCCCAGGATGCGACCCACACCAGTCGACTAACACCCAGGTACCTATTTGCTGCTAGGTGAACAGGACAACAGGTGTAAGGAAACGTGTCGAATGTTTCCACCCGCCGGGAATCGAACCCGGGCCCTCCGTGTGTGAAGCGGGAGCTTTAGCCACCAGGCCACCTTACATGTACATGGTATACAGACCTTGCTGACATCAATGGCATACTACTGTATAGAAGCCCCTTGTTATGCTGAGCATTTCGGACAAATTAGGTTAGTTTTGTCCCAGGATGTGATCCCCGCCAGTCGACTAACACCCAGGTACCCATTTTAAACTGATGGGTGAACTGGGACAGAGACAGCAGGTGTCTTGTGGAAACACGTCCCTAACGTTTCCCAGCCGTAATAGAGGAGATTCGAACCCCGAACCTCAGTGTGTGAGCTGAGTGAGTTAGTGATCGAGCTACGGGACACCATGGAGACAATCGTCTAGGGCAAAGGTTTGACAGGTCTAGCAAATGCTGGAACATCAAAATTTAACTTACTGCAGCTAGATATTTAAGACAGTCCTGAGAATTTATGAAATTATCGGATTTAAGATTATGTATAACAGCTTCTGTTTTAAATGTATTTAGTATGAACAATCCTATGCTATTTTTATATACCGAAACATTATCCTGTTTTATAACTGAAGATACTAAGATATTTCTTAGCAGCCAAGATGAACTAGGAACTATGATTCCGGCTTTCAAAAATTTTTGCATGGCTATTGCACACACACGTGTGGTTCCATATGGCATCAGATTCTTGCGCTGTTTGTAAGACTATCGGTGTTGTGCTAGTCTAATATCAAGGAGTTTACATGTCTGCTCATTAAAGATAAATTACTTCCGCTGCCCCTCCTTCCCCCCGACTTTGTAAACACCGCTTACACAGTTTTTTTGACGAATTCTTGATCAACCTGCTCCTAACTGCCCTTGAGTACTTGAAGACTACTTGTATACTGAATCTTTTTAGGTCAGTCGGTGACGCAGATTCTCCTTGTAAGGGAGAGCTTCACACGGCGAGGGTCTGGGTTCGATTTCCACCCAGGGTAGAAACACTGGGCGTGTTTCTTTACACCTGTTGTCTATATTCATCCATTAGTAAATGGGTACCTGGGTGTTAGTCGATTGGTGTGGGTCGCATCCTGGGACACTGACCTAATTTGCCCGAAATGCTCAGCATAACAAGCGGCTTTCTATATAGAAGTATGTCACTGATGTCAGCTAGGCCTGTATACCTTGTACATGTACTTGTAGTAAATAAAGATATTATTATTATTATTATAACCTGTGGGACTATCCTTGGTTTAGTTTTATAGTAAGTCTTTCTAGCAGCTTTCAGAGTATTTTCCACAAATTCTTTAGGATACCGTAATTTTCTTGCAATATCAAAGATTTTCGCAATTTCATCATCGAGAAACGCCGGGCTGCAAACTTAACCAAACCTCACTTAACTTCACCTAACCAAACCTCAATTAACGTAACGTATTCTCACTTAACTTTGTCAACCTAACTTTAACTAATTACCTTCACCTAGCCTAACCTAAGCTAACGTTCCCTAACGTAACCTCGCTTACATAACCTCACTTAACATAATGTAAACTAACCTATCCTAATATTAACTAACCTAACCTAGTAACTTAAATAAAATGTTCCAGGCTCCTAAAGGCTGCTCACACTGCTGTCTAGGGGTTATAAAATTACTCTTAAAACACAGCGAACCTTGGGCCAGCATGTACTCGTATATTAAACAATATTAATTATTATTAAGAAGGAAGGACATAAAAACTCACGTATACAAAAATATATATAATATTGTTAATAACTTATATACAACTTATAACTACTACAAAAAAACACCACACTCCAATTCACACACTGCTGCTAATTAGTTAAAACAAATCATCAGGGAGGCACCATGACATACACACCCCCGTCTCCACTTCTGTCTGGAAGACTAATTACCAGCAGGTAAAACAACATACAGTACTCTCGCATAAACAGGCCTCTGCATACTAGGGCCTTACAAATAAACATGAGAGCACTAAAATAACATATAAAAAATAACTTACAAAAAACACCATCCCTACTAAACACTTATCGTGATGTATTAAGACATCTTGTTATAAGTGTTGTGCTCCGCCGACTGACACTCCCCACACCTCATCTGCTCCTGTCTCCTGGCCACTCTAACTGCCCGGGAATAATGAGCGTTCGGGTTCAGTACAAACCCGGAACTATGTTACACGGAAAATGACATATGGAGCGTTATTTCTTATATAAATATTTCTTTACAGTACTCCATAATACCTCACCCAACAAACCTAATGAAACCTGACGTAACTTTACCTGATCTCATCTAAGCTCACTGAACATAGCTTAACCTCGCTGAGTTAAACTAACCTAACTTCACCTAAACTAATCTAATCTCAGCTAACATAACCTAACCTAACCTAACCTCAAAAAAGCTAACTTAACCTAACTCAAAAAAGCTAACTTAACCTAACCTCAAAAAACCTAACTTAACCAAGCCGACCTCAATTCACCTAATTTAAATTACCCAAACCAAACTTAATCTAGCCTAATCCTGAGTGACCTTGCCTTTCTTAATCTGGCCTGAGCTATCTCACTTAAAGTAACGTAAGAACATTGAGTAGAAGAGGCAGAAAGGTTTGGGAGCGTTGATCGTGCAGAAACACGCGTACTGTTATGCATTAGGAAACGGGAACACGTTAGACACATTGGACAAGTTGGACAGCTTCACTGGCACAACAAGTTGCTGATGTCACTCCGCCTTCACACCATAATTAATCCGGAAGTTAATATTCAGCCGTGAATACTGAAACGCCATTGGGCCGTTTAGGCTCTCTAATTGGCTGAGTGTTGGGCCGCAAAGCTCTTTGATTGGCTAAGTGCCGGGCCGCCGAGCTCTCTGACTTATTGAAGTGCGTTGCCCGAGATGAGGAGGTGGAAGAGGCACCTTCAAGAGTAGGTATGATCAGACCCTGAAGGCCAGAAGTCAGTGAAACCACTCGATAAGTGTAAACACACACACACACACACACACACACACCTAGAAGCGGCCAATGAAGAAGCGGGGCCAGGAGCTGTTGCTCGACCCTTGCAACCACAACTAGGTGGGTACACACACATACACGATGTGGTGTAAGCAGGTTCCATATATAGTTTTAAGAAGAGGTATGATAAAACTCATGGGGCAAGAAGAGTGATGTAGTAGCGACCAGTGAACAGGCGGGGCCAGGAGCTGAGACTCGTCCCCTGCAACCACAGCTACGTGAGAGTAGGTGAGTACACACACACACACACACACACACACATACACACACACACACACACACACACCACACACCACAACACAACCACACAACACCACGGGGGGCCAGGAGCTTAAGACTCGACCCTGCAACCCAAAATAGGTGAGTACACACAACACACACACACACACACACACACCACACCCCACCACACACACACACACACACACAACACACACACACAAAACCCCCACACTGGACACCCCTAAACCTTTCCTTTCCCCTTTACATAAAATTATTTAATCTGTCACTTAATTTCTCACGTTTTCGACCCTCTGACAGGTGTTGAATGAGACATATGTGACGAATGAAACACATGGTTTTCTTCATCGTGGAAACGTTTCGCCAATCAGTGGTTTTATCAGTCAAAAGCAGAGAAAACCTCTCATCGGCAAATCGTTTCAACAGTAAAGATGCATAAGTGTTGCATAAGTGTTGCATAAGTGTTGCATAAGTGTTGCATAAGTGTTGCATAAGTGTTGCATAAGTGTTGCATAAGTGCTGCATAAGTGTTACATAAGTGTTGCATAAGTGTTACATAAGTGTTGCATAAGTGTTACATAAGTGTTGCATAAGTGTTGCATATTTGGGTTTCATAAGTGTTTACATAAGTGTTGCATAAGTGTTGCATAAGTGTTTTCATAGTGTTGCATAAGTGTTACATAAGTGTTGCATAAGTGCTGCATAAGTGTTACATAAGTGTTGCATAAGTGTTACATAAGTGTTGCATAAGTGTTGCATAAGTGTCTCATTCGCAAGCTTGCCGGTTTACTAAACCATTTATACGATAACACTATTACAGGTGTGCAGGAGGACCAATAGTCCCTCATACAGGGAAAGATTTCTCTTCGCCCTGGAGGAGGAGGAGCCGCCCCTGCGTGCCCTGGCCTTCTACATGTACGCTTCTGACAAGTTCACCAACACACTCATCGGTGAAGCTCATCTCAGACTCAGCGATGTCGACCTCTCTACTCCCTGCGCCCTCGTCCTGCCCCTCACTGACATGGGCCAGGTGGGTGGGTGTGTGTTTGTAGCTACAGGAGCAGAGTTATGCTCGTGGTGACTTGTCTTCAGTTATGTTTTCCACTATATAATTCCTAATATTTGCAGTGGTTAAACCCTTACTGCTTCCTCTTTTAAATCATTCTACCGGACTACCACTCTATGAAATAAAAAAAATAATCACCTATCCCTTCGACTCCATTTTTATCCTAAACTTTTTTTCCTGTGGCTTGTGTTGGCCTTGTTGCAAGTATTAAGATATCTTCTTTTATCGAGGGTTTCATGTTCTTCGATAACCACATACGTCTTAGTCACGTCTCCACTTTTCTTGTTATCAAAGAGCGTGGAAAACTTCAGTGTTGGCAACTTTTCATCGTGGTAGTCTGTGTGTACCTCTTCGATCTTTCGTAGCTACCGTATTTTCCTGCATATAAAGCGCATGATCATATGCAACATATAAGACTATGTTTGCAAGCAGTTGTAACGTAACGTTAGTAAACAACTGCAGAAGCGTATCTCAAAATTTTCTCCTTGACTCTGACCTCCAGCATGTAAGACGCGGGGTAATTTTCCGAGGTATTTTGTGGGATAAAAGTGCGAATTATATGCTGGAAAATACGGTAGTTCGCATTTTGTAGGTATGGACACTGCGCAACTGATGCATATTCTAAATTTTCTTTTTGGCCCAAAAATATGTTGTAAATAGATGTTTTTTTACCATTTCCCTGTCCACATATTTTTCATAAATTTTACAGTGTGGGAGTGTAGCATCTGAGGTTTTCACAACCTTATTTCTTTAATCTTCCAGTGACATTTTTAAAATAATAATACCTGGTCTCTGCCTGTCTGTCTGTCTGTCTGTCTCTCTCTCTCTCTCTCTCTCTCTCTCTCTCTCTCTCTGATGAATTCATTATTTCCTACGGAGCCTAGATTTTTCATATGATTTGAATTTTTTCCCTCCCATTTCCATTACTTATCACTGATCATCATTAAATTCCATCATCCATCTATCATTTCATTTGTTTAATTTATCTCAATCATCCTGCAGTGTTTGACAATCATTTTACTGTTTATTTTAAACTAAAATTTTTTTGCATCATCCGCAAATACATTCATACAGTTTTTTCTTCCTTCTGCTAAGTCGTTTATATAATTTATAAATATTATTGGATACACTTTCTCTTTTAACTGGTCTAAGTTTCCTCTCAGAAAGGCAAACTTAGCCTTTTGTTCCTCCAATATTTTTACTTTCTGAATTAGTCTTTTATGTGGAACTCTACGATGAATCATCCCTGGAGTATACCTGGAGGGTGTTCCTCGAGTCAGTGCCACCGCGGCCAGGTTCATGACCAGGCCTCGAGGTGGCTCGGGGCCTGATCAACCATGGTGTTATTCCGGTCCGCACGCAAACTGGGGTACGAACCACAGCCCGGCTGGTCAGGTACCGGCTTTAGTTTCTTGTCCAGCTCCCTAACTGTTTCGTAATAGTTTAATAGATTTAATAAACATGAAATATTAGGCTGGAAACCGAATCGTTCACCAGTTAGAAAATCTTGCTCTCTGAGTGTTATGTCCACCCTCCCGAAATCCCTTTTTACATAATTTTTTTATTGCACTTGCTAGCGAAATTCGCTTATAGTTGAAAGGGTGTCCCTTTAGCTCGGTTGGTAGCGCACTCAGTAAACACAGTGAGTATCCATGGTTCGATCCCTTGTACGGGTGAAAACATTGGGCATGTTTCCTTACACTTGCTATCCCTGTTCACCTAGCAGCAAGTAGGTACCTGGGTGTTAGCCGACAGTTGTGGGTCACATCCTGGAGGACAAAATTAGCCCAGGTCGCCCTAAATATTCTGCATAACCAGGGACTTTCTTTCTAGTATATCATTAATGTCAGCTATGTCTGTATAAGTAGTATCATGTGCTTGTAGAAATAAAGATTATTATTAAAGCAATGGTTCCCTAACTTCTGTCGATCGTATACCCCTTGACGTTACATTATCAACCACTATTAACGATTCTTGAGTATAGGTCTGGTAGCGGGAATGGTTGATAAGGCTTCGATTGCATCTTACTTTATTGGTTCTTGTACACAGGCAGTGTGCTTAAGTGCCCAGGGACCCAACTTGCTGGATCCCCTTCTGTGAGAGACAAAGGAGTACACTTGTTGTCTCTAGGTTGAGTTGGCGGCAAGAGAGGCATAGAGAGCGTAGTGCAAGCTGAGCTTGGCAGACCTATTGCCCTGCTAGATGTCAGCACTGGTGATGCAAAATATAAAGGACAGCCTGAAGCAAAATATAAGACCAACTGGGCATACAGTGCTCGGCCACCTACTCATAATTGTCCTCGACCATGAATGACTGAAAAAAAAAAACTCAGTCACTCTCTCTCCCAGGAACAGGGCACAGAACGCAAAATAAAAACAGATATATACATGTGGACATGGACAAAAAAAAAACTTCCTACAGGCAGAGAAGAAAAAAAGGGTGTGCTAAAACATTGTGGTCCAAGGCAGCGAGCCTCGGAGGCATCACTGCATCCCTTCCTGCATCTGGACAGATACTGCAACCTCAGGAGACATCCCTGTAGCTGAGCTATGGCATATCAGGATACGGTCTCGTCTGGAACGGTGAAGCAGTCATCATGGAGTAGTCGCTTCAGGGTTCACTCAACTGGGGCACAACCTGCTGGTGCCCTTGAGTGAGGCATCGTCAATACTCAGCAACTGGGCAGGACTTCTGGCATGCGACTTAGGAGGATATTTCTCGACTGGTACTGTCGCTGGGCAGTCACTGCTGGGAACGCAGTACAGCTTAAAGGTGTCGACGAGAGTGAGTCATAGCAGGAACAACTCAGGCACATAACCTGGGAGTCGCAGCAGCTTACACCAAAACCGGAGTGAGCTAGCAAAGTGACATCATACTGTGTGCAGGATGCTTAGTGAAGCCATGACACGAATCAGACAATCGCCTTTCGACAGAGGGAGGCTGCGGCTTGATGATGTCTTCCTCTCAATCAGAGTTGAAGTCAGAGCAGAAATTAGACTGAGCATCCCCAGACTGAGTCTACTCATAACTGTACTCTAGTGGTCAGGAGGTGGAGGGACAAGTACGATTCAGAAGTGACATCTACGAGAGTGACGAGCATAAGAAATTTCTATTCATGTGGGCTCGACAATCGTAACTGACACCTGGACTTATTAGTGTCAGGTCTCAAACGGTCACAGTGGGATGACATGGTCTGGGCTCTGACCACTCTGTGGTCTACACACACATCTGGGCTCAGCCCACTTAACATCGGGGACACACGTAAACTTGCACACCCACACTGCACATGCAGTTACTACATGACTTGCACTAGCAAATGATGCTTTTCTGTGCAAAACTCGATACTAAGGCATTCACGAACATGTGAGAACACTAGTAAAGGTACCCTGATTAAGAGGAATTAACCCCGTCACACACACACACACACACACACACACACACACACACAACACCACACACAAAAATATATATATATATATAAATATATATTATATATATATTATATATATATATATATTATATATGTGTGTGTGTGTGTGTGTGTTTTAATATATATATATCTTGAGCAAGGGGCTAGTAACCCTTCTCTTCTATAAATTACTAATTTAAAAAGAAAACTTTCGTTTTCTTTTTTGGCCACCCTGCCTCGGTGGGATACGGCCGGTTTGTTGAAAGAAGAAAATATATATATATTCTCTCAATAGTTTGGGACAATAGTGAGTACAAATTGCTCACTATAAAACTATAACACTGTTGATGTGACATCATGTGGTGATGTCAGGCGTGACATTGAGAGTGATGTCGTGTGACACCAAGAGGTGACGTCAGAGCAGACGTCCTGGTGTGATGTTGGGCAGATGTCCAGGGTGACGTCGGATGACATCAGGCAAACGTCCCGGGTGACTTTTGGTAGACGTCATGGGTGACGTGGCGAGATGAGGTCATGGGTGACGTCGAGATGTCCTGGGTGACGTTTCGGAGTGACGTCGCGAGGTGACGTCGGGCAGACGTCATGCAGCATGGTGACGTCGCTAGGTTGCATCCTGGAGTGACGTCGGGCAGATGTCGCGAGGTGACATCAGGCAACATGGTAAGATAAGATAAGATAACATTTCGTTCGGATTTTTAACCCCGGAGGGTTAGCCACCCAGGATAACCCAAGAAAGTCAGTGCGTCATCGAGGACTGTCTAACTTATTTCCATTGGGGTCCTTAATCTTGTCCCCCAGGATGCGACCCACACCAGTCGACTAACACCCAGGTACCTATTTGCTGCTAGGTGAACAGGACAACAGGTGTAAAGAAACGTGTCGAAATGTTTCCACCCACCGGGAATCGAACCCGGGACCTCCGTGTGTGAAGCGGGAGCTGTAGCCACCAGGCCACCGGGCCACACTTGGTGACATTAGGGGTGATGTCATGCAGTGTCCTGGGGTGACATCGGGCAACAGACAACATCATTTAGTTCGCTCCACATGGCTAGTAAATCCATATGGCTTACAGATCCACACGCGGCTTCATAAGAAAACAGCAGAGAGGGAGTAGTGGTGGAGACTAGTGTTATGGTAGGAGCGAGGTGGCGTATGGCGAGGCGAGGAACTCCGGCCGCTTCCTCCTCCCTACCCACACACATGGAAGATAGTACAGATTCTACCACACTGCGCGCAGAAAACACCACACAACTCACCTCTGACTTGCTGAAAAAGCTGTACTGAGCTGAAACAACAGCAGTAACAAACAGGTGACGCTGAGCATGTGACTGAGAACAGCGTGGGATGCTGTGGAGTGGAGGCACAGGAGACGCCACTAAAATTTCTCGAAGAAATTCCGCAAATTTCGTCCTGGATCCTGCTAATCCTGTCTGAATGATGAGACTTGCAGACACGACAGGATAACTCGTAGAGAGACGGATGCTGATTGTACCACGCGATGAAGTAGTCAACATCTTCATGCATTCTTCCTCTC